AAAAAAATAATCTGCAGAAACTGAACACTTAAAAAGAAGCAAATGAATGCGATGGATTCAAAATAAACATAAATTTCATTCAGCTCTGTAGGCTGTAGCTCCCCACAACTCCGAACCTATTTGCAATCAGATCACATTTTGTCGATATTTCTTTAGATACTGATTTCAACAATTATTCTTACTTACAATACCCAAGCTTTTTGAAACTGAGGTAGGCAGCCCAGTTTGCTTTACTTTATTTAATTAAACAAATAAATAAACTTTTAAAATGTAGCTTTTTATAGAGTAATATATTTTGCACGTCTACATATATGGTTTTAAATAAATTTTCCTTCTACATTGCTTTAAATAAAGGATGAGAAACCACCAGAATCGTTAATTTAACCCATTGAGCTTTAGTTGATAAGTATGAAATATTATTCTGAAAAAGTAAAATGTTTATCGTTTTTTAGTCACGGCGACGTTTCTGTTGCTCTTGCATTTTCTTCCTTAAAAGTTATTTCTTAATAAGATTATTCTTGTATGATTCGTCGTTTTATACGAATGTTACATTCGCGGTGCGATTATTTTATTTTCTTGCTCTCTCTTTTCGTTTTATTTCTTTTTTATCCCAAGATTTATTTCGCTCTTCTAATTCAGATTCACTTAAATGTAATTGAAAAAATTTCTTTGCTCTAATATTGAGAATTCGCTAATTTGAAAGGCGGCTAAAGCACTTAATGTATATCAAATGAAAGAGTTACTCCAGAAATATTTTATTTTCATCGTTATAAGTTTTGCTAAGTTCCATTAATGTTAAATTCATAAGGTATTAACGATATATAAAAATATTCCCAAAAGTGATCATAAGGCTGCATTTTGATTCGAAGGCGTCGTGATTTAATTTACGAGTAATTCAAGCCAAATATTAGTAGAATGAGGAAAAAATAGAATATATAATTTTATCAGCCATTATCAGAAACTGTAAAGTGTACCCATGCCTAGCCATTGAAATCAATCTAGCATACTAATAGTAAATGTATTTTGTTAAGATACAGTTCCTGAAAGTTAAACCAAATATGTACAGCAGAGCTTCTTAAGAAAGAGTTAAGACAACTAGAATATATAACAAAAAGATTCCCTTTAGAGATGTGTAGTTTAAGGTGCTATAAACATCATTTATTAATCACAGTAGTCTTATAAAACACATGAGTTGAATACATTCAAATGTATATCACTTATATTGATAAGATGTGCCATCAAGAAAATAACAACGGCTGAAAGACTGAGAATTTCGCTTATAGCTTGAAAAATTAGAGCTTTCTGTTTCACGCTGAATAGCAATAACTTGAAAGATATATTTGCCAGATTATGCAGGAGACCAATTAGATCTTAGTTTCGCATTAATGCATGATAGCATAAACAAACGTAATAGTTAAAAAGCTTTGAAATTCAGCTAAGGACGTCTTAATCATTTGTTTTGGTTGAGACATTCATAATTTAGATTATACTAACGACTAGTTTTATGATAATTTCTTTCGTATGTGAGGGTACTCACTCAGACTTGAGGCTCCTGCAAATTTTACAGCAACGGGTGTAGTTTCCTATTAGGATGCTAGGATGCAATTTTAACCGGCAACACAGTGAAATTAGTTTCGAAGTTCTACCGTGTAGCTTCACACGCCGCTCAAAGAGCAATATTTAAGCGCTACCTAAATTTTGGGGGAGTTAAGTCTTAGAAGATTATCTAGTTCCTGTTCTGATCTTAAGTGTGTTGGAGATCTGTGCAAGATTATTATAGCTGTAATCACCGCCTAACTCTAGCATGCCAGCAAGTAGCTGCCATTATCTGTCGACAAGAAATCTTAAAGTTTAGTTTGTTTTTAGTTATATTACCCAGAAGTCACGGCTAATAATATTTCGTGTTAGTTTTTCCTTGCAGTCACATGATGTATTAATAGTTAAATAATAACAGACACGATGACTTGCCAGCTATTATAACTTCTTAGGCTGCTATAGCACATCCATTTGTTTCAGATAAATAACTATTTCTAGCAATTTTTATACCTTATTTACCACTGAAAGAAAAATGCACAATTTTTTCCTTCCTTTCGAAAAACAAAATAATTCATTCAATTTCAGCAATCAATCAGCTATTAGCATGGAATCCTCCATCATCAGCCATCATTAGTAATAGAGGACTAGTTTCTATTTTACATGATAACCCAAAGTGATCCATATGATTGGCTGCTTTATATCAGGTGACAAAGAAGAAAAATATTACTAAGCAGTTATTCTATCGAAATGCTTTGAATGAGAGATATGACCTTTGTTGTCAGTCGTTAGGCTTGAGCACAGTTAGCTCTTCCTAAATAGTTTTAATACCTTAGAAATTATATTTGTAGAGACATTAGGCATTTTTTAGAAGCAGGAGAGATGAAAAATTAGCAACCGCCTTCGCCAGGAATCGAACCACGGACCTCTGAAATATCGGCTTAGAGAGCTGACCACTACACCACAAAGGCACGCTAGGCAAGCGGAAGAAATACCTTATATACTCCCTCTTTTAAAAGGCGATTGGGGGTTTTAGGGAACATAGTCACCAAATCCTGGGTGAGGAGAATCATCTCCAACATCCTTTTAGTTCGGCCGCCACTATAGAGACATTAGGTATTTTTTAGAAGGAGAGATGGAAAATTAGCGAACGCCTTCGCTGGGAATCGAACCACGGGCCTCTGGAATACCGGCCCAGTGTGCTGATCACTACACCACGAAAGCACGCTGCGAAGGCTGGAAAAATACATGATATATTTTTGCAAGAATACTCACGTAAGGAGTTAATAATTTTGACCTTGAATCCCTTATATGTGTATGTTTCATTAAAAGACAGAAAAAAATCCTCATGCCACGCTAATTGGGGAATAAATAGTATCAAAGGCCAAGAAATCACCGCATTACTGAACTGCCCAAAATTTCATTCTCATTTTTTTTACTTATTTATTAAAGGCTGGACAGTTAGGAACATCAGACTATATAATGTGTTTATCACTTAACAATTAAGTCGTTTTGAACGGAACATAACATTAATTTATTTATTATGCACTCTCTCGCTCTCTCCCAATTCTTACTTAACAATTCTTACAATTCTTTGCCGCCAATCCGCAAAATGTACGATTTTTAATTCCCCTTTCAAATTTAACCCGTAGCTCTTAATAAACTGGCCCATTTAAAATCAATAAACTTAGTAATATTAAAATATCAATCAACAATAACGTATTCAATAATAATACATTTAAATTTATAATATACAGCTATAATTTTTATGAACAGTATTAGTGCTATAATTTATAAACGACATATATATAACCCAACAAATAAAGAACCGTTTGGTTTATTTTAAGTAACGTATCTAATTCATATAATTTAAACTGTACTTGAGATATATGCAAATTATTATTTTTATGAGAAAAGGCAGCATTATTATAATCAGTCAACGATGTTTTCTTGCCAGATATTCATTACTTAGTACTGAGTTTCTTAATTTTTTTTTAATTATTCCAAATCGGCTGGAAGATTACGCCTTCAGCATCAAGTCACACTTAATACCCTTTTCCTACAGATCTGTTTAAAGTTATTCCATCTTAAGGAACAAAGAAATATACTAGTACTATTTTAGTACTAAATATTCTAAATAATTTTTCTGAGATCCAGAAGTTTTATTTGTAATATTCTGTTCAAGAAGCATTCTGCCCACGAAGGCCTTTCTGCCCTTAGACATAAAATTAAAATATCCGTTCCTCACCTACCATCATGAATTAACGTATTAAGTCATTCTAAAAATTGATAAAGATTATTATTATCACTATTTTAAACAAATGTCCTCTTGGTCATTTAGAACTAATGGGATATAAAATTTAGATTTTAAGCTTTACAGAAGTAAATTTGAAGGCATATTCATATATGGTCAATTTATCACTTATTATTTATTTTACTAAATAAATTTATCTCAGAGACAAAGTTTCTTTACTTAAAAATTAAGTCTCAAGAATCTTCAAAAATAAAGCCTGAAGGTAAAATATTAAAACTTTCAATTTTAACTTATCGACGTTAGTCTCCAACAACCCTTAGGTTGAGAATGCCCCTTTTTATGATTACCAGAAGTATTTCCTACTAACGTATAATGACTAAATATAAAAAAGATATAAAGGAACGCGGCATTAAAGAAACAACTTTAACTCTTCCAAGTTATTTTTGCGGACTTATCCTAGCATTAACTCAGGATAAGCTCAATTTTTAAAGCCTTTTAAAGGTATCTCGTAGCTTCCCAAGAACGACTAGAATTAGGCCATATATTCCTTTTATATTTTCGGAACCGCAGGTTTTAAACATATAATGGAGATATGACCCAAACCCTAAAGAAATAAATTTGTTCATATTCCAAGATGGCGAGAAACATTAAAATTAATGGAACGGGCAATAAATGTGAGAGACTTTCGCCACTTTTAATTATGGTGCATCGGTTTTATTTATGCCGTCATTTCGTTTCTGTGCCATTAAATGGAACATATATGGCGTTTTGAGAAAATGCGAATTGCTGAAAATTTCTTCTTAAGCAAGCTTTACATTGAATATTCTCATGAAAATCTGACCGTAGAAGAATAAATCATTGAAAATCCATTAGTGGTTTAGCGAAGTAGAAGAGATTTTGTCAAATTTTTATTTTTAATATGCGCATGGTGTTACGATAGGGATCTCTATTATTATTCGGATATCTTTTGTACGATGCACACAGCTTGAGTTGTTGTCAACAATGGAGACGATATCATTAACCCAAATTAATACCATTAATACCGAAGCGTTGAAAGGCACTCCAGTGGCATATGTTGTATTTAATCTATCTAAAAGCGATTAACGTTGAATACTTGAAACAACGCTGCAAAAAGCTTTTATAACACTGCTAAATTAATTAGCATTTTACTATCAACCTGATTATTAATTTTGTTTTTAAATAATATACTCACCTGTGTGATGGTATGTTGTTGAGAAATATATGGCTGGTGTTTCGTAGATCAGTTCTTCTTTTTCCGTCTAAAAGAGAAAAGAAATGCGCCAATTTCAATATTAGTTACACATATTTATATTTATTTTAAGATTAGTAAAAATTACTTGATTAATTTTTTTTATAGTAAAGCTTGTACTTATGCTTTCGAAGAGCTATCACTGAAATTTACCCGAGTATTTTAAAGTAGGGGTTTCATACATTTGAAATTTAATTAATTGGAGCATTGCCAGTATTCTACATATATATTCGTGTACGTACTTGTACTACAAATATTATACTTATACATAAAAATCATACTGAGTATAAATTTATATTAGTGCTAACGAATTTTGTATAATTTAACATGAAAAGTCTAAAGCGAGTGAAGATCTGCCAAAGAAATGAAGTTACAGGGCCAAGTCTATTTAACATTGAGGTAAATGTCTATCTCGCTAAACGGGCGAGATATCGCCAAGCTGGCTATGTTTTGGCCCCAGATTGGGTGAGAAATTGCCAGAAGTTGCCAAACTTGGCAATCATTTGGCGGCATTGGAGTCCGGTCCCTGTATATATGTTACTGGCACTGTAATCGATCCCTATATGTAACCGTAACCGTATCCTGCTCTTATATGTAACTTAAACCGTATATGTCTTCCAATAATTTCGAGAAATAGAAGGTATTGAAAATTCTTTGGATGCAGGGGGAAAGTTATATAAGACCAGACAGAGAACCAGTTCTCAGTTTTTAGTTCAAAGTGGACCTCGGATTATGGAGGGATCTGCGTGTGAGTTTTACTCTTTATATGCATTCTGCATTATGTTTAACGGTCTAAGTAAAACAAGTTAGGGAATTTTCCTAGTTGTCAGAAAATTTGGTATTGAAAATATAAATTTTAAATGAAGTTTTACAGAAAAGTTGTACTCTGAAATTAAAACCTAACATTTTACTTAGTTCCTTTATAGAAAAAAACTGCAGTAAGTAAAATTTTCACTGCTCTGTAAAGAAACAAATAGATCCTTAACTTTATGATCAAAATTCGTAAATTCAATCGTTCCTCTGAAGTGAAAAAGAAACCAGTATTGAAATGCAATATGTAGATTGCGTAAATTATTTTTCTGCGAATTTTAAAAGCAGGAAAATACAGAATGCTTCTTTTTAATTATTTGAATCCTAATAAATATTCAAAATTTGAAATTTATGTTTTACGAACACCCCACAGGAAATGATATTTTATGTTTAGAGATTATTTGCTTCTCAAAATTGAAATTCTCATAAAATACTAATATAATTTATTTCATGAAATGTTAGAGAAAAAGCACACACCTAAAACTGATACTTAGCAAAACATCTATGGCCACTTTTATATGTAAAAGTAATATTCTTTATATATGTCAAATCAATTGAGTTACATAAAAAACAACTGACTGTTTTACGTAATCAATGATGGAAGTTTAATTAAGATAAATCATCGGCGCATGCAACATTGCATTGTTGCGATATAATTACCAACTTCAACAGGCATAATTACGTTGCCCTGAACTAAACAGTGATTAATGATGGCTGACGATTATCTCGAAACCAAGAGCGAGAATACGACTCTGGTATTAAGACCTGGTAGTATGTGTGTGCTGTTTCCTTCGCATCATCGGTGCGATTCTAGTCCCTCTGTTGTACCCTAGACCATATTCTTAGTAATGAGAATACCCTTTTTTCCTCTTCGTAAGGAGTTATTACCTTATGTTTTATATCATTGTATTATTTAATGTACATAATTTTAAGATTTTGCAGTTGAAGAATAATGTATACCTTTGTTGTATGATTTAACTCTCAAAATGTTCTTCCATGTTAATGTTAGTTCTGTTACATAAATACATTAATTTATAGGTAATTTCATGCCTTGCTTTAAACTGTATTCGTATGGGAATGTTTATGTAAATAATTTCATGTCCACATTTCACCAATATTTACTCTGCTACAACTTATGCTTTTATAATAGTTTTAGTATTTTTATAATAATGTATGAGAGTGTATTGCATTAACTATTTCGTTATTATGCAAATAGCGTAATTATTGAGTTTTTTGAATATGTTGCATGTCTTCCTTCCCTGCTAGAACTCTTATCAATAACCGGCCGACAAATTTCCATCTTTAGATATACGCCCCAAAGGTTAGCGTCCCAAGGACCCGATATGCTACAAGCGTAATGTCTTAAGATAGTTCCGATAATGGGGCTTTAGGCCGAAAAATCTAATCAAACCCAATGGACGGCTGCCCCATTATCGGTGGGAAAAAAAGAAAGATAGGGTGTTCACTTGTTTTGTTAGAGTTTTAAAACACGATGTCACCTTTGTAAAACCAAAACTTATAATAATATATATTTGTAACCAAACACGTATTTTCACATTTATTTACTAATAATGTTCTACATCTTTAAAAACAAACACCAGTCACTTTTGACAAACTCTATATTCTGAAATTTCATAGTTCGAGCTGTAATAATTCCGTTCCCCATCTCTTTCTGTGACAACGAAACGGCGGATATTCTATTATCATGTAAAAATGCAAGTGATGTAACTATCTTGTTGCCACTGACAAGTATTCAAATAATATTTAAAAGTTTACTGGCTGTCTCTGCATAGTTGTCAAAGAATCCACTATTCAAATCTGCAAAACACATATACTAACGGCAGTTTACATCGACCTTTGTATCATTTATTTTTTTCGTAAATGCATTTTAACATCAACTCTTATATTAATCCATTAGGGAAAAGTTTGATTTCCTCATGATCAGTTATTTTTAAAATCTATCAAAATAATATGCTCATAAAATAAGGTTTCTTTATATGTGATACTTCATTCGGGTTTTCTTATTGAATTACCTGAAATACTTATATTGAATTTAGGAAATCTCAATAACATGAAATGTTACTGAACAATTAAGCGACAATTAGTTATTTGCATCTGCGTTCAGGTTATCAACGTTGAATGCTAATTCTTAAGCAATTCTATTCCTTTATCAATATTCTTTAAAATGTTACAAAGCACTTTTATTCCTTCTCAATCCTTGTAAAAATGATCCCTTCTTCCTTCTCCTCCTTGTATCCCTTCTCCTCAGCAGTACATGGGTCTATGTGTTATTTTGTCTCTATAGTATGTGTAATACAATAGTATATGTAATTATATTTGGTAGAATTAAATAAAACACTTGTGAATGCATTTTAAATACAAAATCTATTGGACTTCTTCAAATAAAAATGAATCATCACCAACTTACTCTTCTTGGTGGACAGGGTATATTATATGTATACCCACTTCGCGTACTACCAAAAGTGCCAGTATTTTGTTGGTTACCCATACAAGGATGACCACAATGATCTCTGTTAAAACCTTGCACTCTACTCGTAGCGTATGGCGTAGGAAGATACGTGGGCTCTTGTCCACTGTCATATGTCGCTGAAAGCGGGATGTTTTCCTGTTTCACTGTGTCACTGCCGTCTGCACCTGTAATAATAATATGTATTAAAGTCATCATAATTAAAAAAAATAAGCACAATTTGTAATTTATATAAATAAATTGCAATTAAATTTCTTTAAAAAATGGTGATTTCATTCGATTGTGATTTGTGGTTGCTTATGTTTGTCTGCAGTTGCTTTATGTTTATCATTGAAACATATGCATATGTTGTAGATGGGACGAATATGCTGTGTAAGACTCCTAACATTTTATAGTATACCTGAAATATTTTTCGGAAAATATTAAACTCATTTAGCTTCTTTTGAAAATACTGTAATCAAAACTATGAATTTCTGAAGCAACTAAATTTTCTCGTTGGATAGTTAAGCCTTCACTTTATATTCGATAGGAATCGTTTTATCAGTGTTTCACGCGTTGAAATAGATATTTAAGGAATGAGGTTTTGTGGATAACCTTCTTCTGTATTACCAAAAAAAAAGTGTCTGGGACTTATAATACAAACAGTCAGAAAAGCCAACACGAAAGAAATTAAAACCTAGTTTTTCTGATAACGGATTGGTGAAAACTTTCAATAAATCTTGAATTTATTATTCAGGGTCGAGAAAATGAAGAGGTCGAAACGCTCAATCGTAACATAGGATTCAAATCTTAACGCCAGGAGATATTCCTAAGCATGCTTTTGAACAACAATTTGTACTTTTTTGTGCTCTCGAATGAATGTCACAGGCTAGATCATAAATCTCGACCTGGATCGATATCTTATTTGTTTAGTGTCACAGGAAAAAGATGAGAAACATTTTAACCTCATGATTTTGAATAAAAGCGACATAGTGTAAAATTTATTAACATCAAGTCATGGCAAATATCGCTCTATTTTTTTGAAGCAAAATTTATTCCGTAAATGAAAAATGGATTTTGCTTTCAAGTCAAAAGTTTAATTTATAACGTAACTATTCGCGTAGCTTATCATTTACTACATTTTAGATACCAGATAGTGAAAATTCTTCACATATTTTGCATTTTTTATTTTATCGAGCAGAAGTATTTCTTGAAAAAGTGTTTAATTTATTAAAAAAAGGTCTAAATGTTTTTCATAACATTGGGATATTTATTAAAAGCATGCTTTTATTAAATTTAGTGTAGCCTTAAAATGGATATTTAAATTTAATAATATAGGACAGTCGTAAAAAAGTTCCTAGACATAGAAACTCTAGCGGCCTGTCCACAAGGGTTTCATATCGAAATGAAATTTCAGATTACTTGAAAGTTCAGATTACGATGACTTAAAACAGGTGAAAGTTTGTAGAAACGTTACGTATTTTTTGAAAAATGAGCAATGCCTTCGCGGGAACTCGAACCACGCACCTCTCGAATGCGCACCAAGCGTGCTGACTACTATACTACGAAGGCATGCTAAGAAGGCGGTAGCAATACCTTATAAGATGACAGCGGGTCCGAACTATTCAGCTTACTAGAAAGTTTCGGGAATCTTCCGAAATCCGAAGCTGTACAACGTGAGAACTCTTTGGCGCTCCAGAAGCGCGGCATCAGGTGCTTAATAGAAACTTGCATTGATGGTTTAACTATTAGTGTGAAATGTTTATGTACGCGCAGCAACGTACACATGTATAAAATAAGGATTAATTTAACAATGTATTCTCAGTGTCTAAGCCCAGGTCATGAAATTTGAGCATTTTAAACTGATATTTAAACGCAATGCAATAATTGTACACTGATGGACAGACTGTAGCTTGAAAATTAGAAATTCGAAGTTCTTATTTTACCTTTTTTGTGTTGTCATTGGTTCTTTAGAATGCTGTTCTTTGCAAATATTTTTACGCCAGGGATTTTCGTAACACGTATATCGTTCCAACGTCATTTATGATTTCTCAATGAGCTAATCAATTTTTGCAGGGAAAAAGTGGATGTTGCCATTCGAAAATTTTTAAACTTTTTTTCGCTATAACCATAAAAGCTCTATTATTCTAAATCATCACAGTCTTGACTGCGTACCTTCAAATATCTGAAACTGAATTTCGGTTGGTTGAGGGTATAGGCAGCTAGAGGTCTATATAGCGAGGAAGTTTTTTTTATCACCACCCTGTAAGTATTGTTAAAAAAAAAAAAGATAATTCGCTGTTTCAATTTTGATTTTCAATATGATGTTAAGCTTCGTAAAAATGACAAATAAATATAAAATTTTAATTAATTGAAAATAAAAATGCAACTAGCCAGTAAAAGAAAACAATGTAACATTAACCGAGCTAAATAAAGAAAAAATAAATAATAAAATGCTTCTGTGACAGATATTTAATATATGACATCAAAATATCTTTATTAATTATAAAAATTTAATTTGTTTCAATTAGATAAATTATTCAAAAATAAAATGAATATTTAAATTCTTAAGAAACGAATTTCCGTGATAATGCAGTATAACGTGAGCGGGTCAAATATTTTGGAAAGACTAGGATATGGATGCTCTTGACATCAATATAATGTTTGACACCTGTAATTTTATTGCAAATGATAAAAGCTTAATGAATAAAACTATGATATTTAAGCAACGATTTGGGTAATGCTTTTGCTATATTTTAAATGATTTTTGTCAGTGGTGCATTGTAAACAGATAAAGAAACATCCATTCATAAATTTGAATTTTATTATGCAAATGATATTGAACCTGCAAACTATGTGAAGCGTTTTTCGTGTATGTTTAGAAGTGAGAAATCAATCAAAATAACCAATTTACATATTTTTAGATTAGCAAGGTGTAATAGCAGTTTTATGCAGTTTACAATAATTTTAAATTTCAAGTACTTCTGAGACACCCACCATATATGAAAGGAACATCTAATTATGAATCCCACATTCTTAGAAATGTTTTTAAGAAAATGTACGTTTAAGTCTCCTTTACATTACGTAAATGTTAAACTTTCAAATGCTATATAAAAAGGTTTACAGTACAAAAGTAAACCAAAAACAAAGTTTACAATGAGGAAGTCAACAAATATATTTATTAAATCTTAATATTTAAGACTTTAGAAAGATTATTTTGTTATTGAAGACAAGCGAAACGTTTGTCTAACTAACTGTGCGACATAATGGAAATTAATAAGAGTAAAATTAATTTGAAAGATTTAAAGCTAATGTTTGTTATTATACTTAAATTATCTGTTAAAATTGCTATTATCATTCAGTTAAAGTAAATCAGTGAAGAAAAAATGGAAGAAGAGAATGCACATTACCATCTGGTGTACGAGGTCTACAACCTGGAGTTCGCCGTTTAGTTATAATACAGACAACGCAAATAACAAGTACTAAAACTATTGCCGAACTGACAACTGGGACGGTAATTGTTAAATGGCGATAGAAAGCACCGGTAACATCACTCACTTCTGAAGGCCTTGGTGGATATTCTGTAAAAAAGAATTCTACATTAGCATGCTTGTATAACGGTAGTATGTACAAAAATACAATTGATTCACCATTTGACTATATAACACGAATACATGCTTATAAAGAAGGAAATGCATTAAGCTTTAGTCGTAGCTTAAATAATCAGACGATAAGTTTAAAAAACAGGATCCATTTATTATTATTCAGGAGAAATAGCAGTTACAAAAATCAGATATCTGAAGTAAATAAAAAGAATTACTAATAACTTTTTGTATAAAGTTTACTGCATCGTGACATTTAAGAAAAAGCCCCGATATTCCTTTTGCGAGTCCTTTGATAGCTTCTGGAAAGGCGGAGCTTCCAAGAAACTTGAATCTTGACTATGGAATTTTATTATTACAAATATATATATATTAAATCAGGAAAAAATTTTACAACATATTTAAACGTCTTCAATTAATATTTCGAATTCTCTTAGGTAAAAACATTAACATGTACTTTAAAAAAAAAAAAAAAGAATCACCACCCAATATCCAACAAGTACTAGAAATAATGAAAATTTAAATGAAAATAAATTGTATTAAATTTTAATAGTATCATTTTATCAAAATTAAGACTAATATTACTTTGAAATGGTAGCATTAATTTCATAATGCTCTTAAATTTTAAGTGACAGTATTTAATTTTAGAGGCCGAAAATTTAATTTACAGTAGCGTTTAGACACAACATATAGCTGATGACTCCGATAAATAACCCGAAAATAATGCTGCAAGAAAAATAATAATACTACTATTTATTCCCCAAATTACACATCAAACACATTTTTTTGAAAAAAATAATTGTCCAGTCAAAAAGAAGTTTATTCTTTACGAATATTATTAAATTATTTTATAAGACAAAGTGAGTTTACGCTGAAAAAACGTCTTACTGGCAATTGTATTTTGAATTAAAATTTTTTGTAGAAAAATTTAACAATTAAAATTTCTTTCTTTTTCTACAGATTTTAATGTTTAAACACCAAACGTTTTACTGTATCCATTAGAATGCTCTTAGTAACTTTAATGATCGATTTTGAAATTAATGAAATAGTTCCCGAGAAAAAATTAAAATCTTATTTATGTTACAGCCACGTAAGTTTTAGAGCTTTAAATGTAGGAATTTATCAAAAAAATGCAAACTGAGAAAACTCATTTTAAAGAATGTAAACACTCTAAATGGTCAATAAATAATTTTAAATGTCTAAAATATTTCATTATTAAAATTCAATCTCTCTCTATATATATAATAAAATCTATTACAAGTCAACAAATAAATGTAAATATAAATTATAAGATATTCATTGAAACCTTGTCTAGCTGGAAATATTGTAAGAAAAATCATAAAATGCAGGTAGAAAATTTTTTACATGTTTTTGTTTTGTAAAAGATGTTCAAAACAATTTTAATATGTGAATTAATTATAATATAATTTTTGAAACATTTATAATAAATATTAATAATGATAATTAATCGTTTTATTTATTTTTTAAGTAAAATTTGAAATCTGAACAGACATAAAACATTTTATTTAAAACAGCTCAACAGCATATATGATTTCTCCTCTTCGTTTAGCTATTTGGTGTATAAATTGCTGATGCTAAATTAAAATCAAATATTAGTATTTCAATTAATTAAAGATATGAATATTTGGTCCAGCACGATTTCATTAATGGTACAATCAGGTACTTGTTACTTCATTCTGTTTATGTCTTATCACAAATAATTTCAGTTTTTGAAGAAACATAACAAAATTGACTGTTAATACACTTAGAAATATTTGCTAAGTTGAGTATAAAAAGAAAAAAGAAAGAAAAAATTTTTGCTAGTTCAAAAATAGATAAAAGATTTTTGGAATTTCGCTTAGTATTTAAGATTTATCAATTTATACACATAAACAAAATTTACTAATAACTAAAGTTATATTTAATTACATCCCTCTTTTCCTACGCTGATTTTTAAAAAGCAGCTGAAAGAATTTAGAAGTGAAAGAAAGTGAACACTGAGGTTGATGTAGAATTTAAAAGGCTCCCAAAATTTAACATTCCTTTTTAAACATTTATTATTGTTAGATGTTTTTAAAATTTCTTCTGAGTGTAGTAAGGATATTAAGGTATGGTTTTTAGCAAAAAAAAATGAAACATCGGTAATTTCATCGATTTTGCGGTAATGTCTTTTAATTTAAATATTTCTAGCTCACTAAGAGAAGTGACTGGATTGTACACCTCAGTCGCCTCAGGGTAGTAAGAGTTTGACTTATACTTCACTGAATAACTCATTGATTTATGACTGCCGAAGAACCGAGTTCGCAATAAAGAATTTCAAATCCCTCCAAACCATGGAAAATCAAACCTAAAGTGCTAAAAGTAAAATGCGAAAGAAGAAATAATAATTATTCTTTTCCAATAGTAGGGGATGGTGCTTCAAGCTTTCATCCCGTCGTGGTATACAGTCATCTTATAGTTTTATTGTGAAGCTTTCAGGCGAGTAAGAAAGAATGTTTATGAAATAAGATTCTATCAGAAGAGGGATAAGTATTAGTTTTTTCGCCAGAACTACGTATCAAGCAAGAATAGGATGAAGCCGGAAGTTATACTCATAATGTTCCCTCTTCCGTCTTATTATATCTGGTACATTGTGACATTTTCATTTCCTAAAATGAAATTCAGACTGAATTCTGTAAACGATTTTCAAGCCGGATCAAGGACAGATCCGTTAAAAGACCACTAGAGGATATTCCACTCGTGGCGCAAGCTCTTGCATCGGTCAATAAAGGAAAAGGAAACAATTTGGAAGAGAATGCCCCTCAAATTTCGTTCAGGTAAGCTTCCAAAGGTTCGTTTTGTCTCGTTTATTTTTTTATCAGAATTGTATAACTTTCCATCTTGAATTAAAGATCGTCTTGTTGAAAATTGGAAGAAATATTCACAGTTCTGTCTTTAATATTATTCGCACAAACATTTGCATCTCCCACAACACATTAATATTATTTCTAAAATATTCTATGTCGGTATTTTCATTGTGTCTTAATATTACTCCCAAAATATTCTAAGTGTCTGTGGAACATTTATAAGGTAAACATATTATTTTATTCTGGGATTTGGATTTCCATATCCCAAAGATCCAATGTTTGAAATTAGTTTCAATCCAACATAGCTTCCAACATAATTTTTATTACTTTTCGGAAATTGTTTAAATAGGTAATTTTGAATTCAAAAGCCTTCAGAAATGATTGTAAAAAAGTAAAATTAGTACACGCTTAAAATTAACACAATCAGCTGAACTCGCAGTGAAGATTATTTAACAGCTTGAATAGTTGAATTTCAATGCTCATATATTTAACAAGATAAATGGAAAGTGAACAGGAAATTTCACACCTTAGCTATAAAACTAAATTATCATCTCGTTTCAAAATATAAGGCGCGTTCGAAACACCTCACTTAGCAAGCAAAGCTGCTAAATTGCTGAAAACAATAACTCTATGATAATGGAGAGATTTAAATATGAAAAAAAAAATGAATAAAAGTTTAAGTAACATATTCGCTTAAAATTATTATACTGAATAGAAACAAGGATGACTTTTGCAAAGTATTGAACAGAAATTATGAAACCAGCCTTATCTAAAAAAAGATTAAATTCGTTTATTGCAGAATAGGGAATAATTTTTATCGTAAATCATTAGAATAAAGCAAAATTTCCAGAGAAAATACAGAACGGAAAAGAAAACGCGAGGGAAAGCAGTAATAATAGCAGAATATGTCATGGTATTTAGGACTGTTTTTATCCACAGTAGAATGTAATTTAATTGCGTATAATCTAAATATATAAATATAGTTAAATCATCCGTTACATATAACCTGTTAAATCGTAAACAAGTTTAACAAATTGTACTTAACAGTTTAAATTAATTAACAATAAAGTTAACAATAATAACTTAACAATTAAGTGTAAATGAATTTTTTATTTCCCATTGATTCCTATAGATATAAAAAGAGACATTGTCCTGTCTTCCTAAAGGTTAACTCTTCTTATTTTAAACTCTATTTAGTTTATACAACCAAATGAATATATTATCCAGACTGCTTAAAAATACAGGTAAAGTGATGGTAGTTCTTTTTCTGCTACTTATAATATGATATTAAGGATTTCTATCTTAATATCAAAATAATACAAAGAGGGATAAAAGGAGATCGCTACCTGATTATGAATTTACGAGCGTCGTTGGTATACCATTCATGAAAGTTGATAAAAAATAATATTCGAGATGATGTATCAGGATAGCCGCTTTGTCTTCGAATACTTCCGTATTATGAATCTGGTCTACAGAACTGTAAGAACTATCTTAAAGCTGTAATAATAATGTGTTTGATTGTTAGGTGACAGGTGAGAGCAGGGTCCTGATACCGGTCGGCTTTCACTGATTATTCGGGTATCGTCCGGATCCCGCAACTGTCCAGAAAAACAACATTGCCAAACAGGGGCTGATGTTGGAAAACAGACGTATTGCGGATTCTTACAATACTAATGCTTATTATATAATATATGACAATATAGCGATACTTTACATCAAAACGTAGTGTTACTATGTTGAATTAAAACAGTAGTAGTACCTCGTTATGCATTACACATTAAAAGTGCACTCGATATATTAATACATACAATAATGAACGTTTCTAAACCCTACAGACATATTACAGAGCATCACCAGTTACCAGTGCACATCATGCAACTTATAACTATATACTTCGTTTGTCTCAGCACTGCAGATCAATACTAAGTAGTTACAAGTAAGAAATAAAAATTCTCTAACAATCTGCATCTTGATTTATTTGCACTACGCAGTGTAACGAGTAAGTAATTATTCCTTAAGCCTTTGCTTGGGTTGCAACAACGCAACGCAAATGAGATTTTCATTATAATTTCTATCGAAATATCTTTATTTATTGCAATACTATTAGCTAAAACGTAACTCATATTTAACTAT